CCAGAAGAGGGCACCAGACCTCATTACAGATGGTTGTGAGCCACCATGTGGTTGCTGGGAATTGAACTCAGGACCTTTGGAAGAGCAGGCAATGCTCTTATAACCACTGAGCCATCTCTCCAGCCCTGTTGTTTGTAATTTTATACTTGATATGTGTTCCTATTGTATATAGTTTTGTATTGGGGTTTGGATTGCTTTTGTCTAGATAAAAAGGGGAAATGATGGGGAACTTTGTAGCCAATCATCTTTAAGAGGTGGGTCTTAGTTAAGGCGTGGCTTTGCTGGGACCCAGGGTAAAATGTGTGCATTTCCATGTGCGCTCTCTCTGCACCTTTTCTCGAGGGACATTGCTGTGCTTGAATTTTCTCATTTCCTGTTTTGTGAGTTTTCCCCTTATAATAAATATAGTTGTTTTATCCTTAGCTAGCCTGGTTATTTCAACAACCGCCTGGCCAGTTTGGGGCTTGGTCAATCTCAATGAGCCAATCCCCATGCCTTATCCTCCCTAGTACTGAGATTACTGGTGTGTGCCGCCACAGCTGGCTTTAGAATTCTTGTTGGCTTTGTTTCTTTGTTTTTAGGGGTTCTCCTGTATCCTAGGCTGGCCACAATCTCACTATGTTTTAGATTATGGCTCAGGCAGCTGACAAGCTGAATGTCTCTGGATCTGCTCAGGGTTCTGGTGAGAGCCAGGGTTGGGGGGAGAGGTTTGTCTGGAAGGTACAGCGCACAGAGGGCAGCTGCATTTCATGGCCCCCTGTTCTTGCTGTGAGGCATCCAGGCCCCTCCAGAACTCGAACACTGAAGAATTGCTCATCCTGCTGGCAGAGCTAATCACCTGAAAAGAAGGGCCGTTTTGTCAGCCCCAGCACTAGGACCTCGAGGTGCTACCAGTCTATTTCTAGATTCAGCTATAGGCTCTCCAAGCGACTACGGCCGAGAATGATGGAGTACAACTCCCACCCCTCTGCCCAGAGGCACACAGGAAGGACACACACCACATGCAGAGGTAACAACAGTCATGGGAAGTGCTTTTCAGGAAATCTAATCCTTTTTTAACACAACCTATACTTGTGCGATAATGAATTATGGTATGTCCTGACCACAAGGACTAAGCAATAAATATTAGGAGACCATTCCACAACTTCTTGGTGTTGAGACAGAATCTCACTGTGTAGCCAGGCTGCCCCAAAACTACCTCTGTAAACCAGGCTAGCCTGAAACTCATAGAGATCCACCTGATTTTGCCTCCCGAGTACTGGGACTAAAGGTGCGTGCCACTATGCCCAGCTCTAACTTTTAAACAAAAACGCAGACTTTCCTTCTGAAAATGAACTCCAATCTGAGCCGTTGCGGTGGCGGGTCCTGCAATCCCAGCACATGCAAGGTAAGAGACAGGAGGAGCAATAGCTCAAGGACCGCCAACCTGGTCTACATCGCAAGTTCCAGAACAGCCAGGACTACACAGAGACCCTGTTTCAAAACAAAACAGAAAATTCAAGGTCTGAGCCTGTAAAATGTCTACCCCTCAAACATGAGGACCTGATTTGGGGATACCTAGAACCCATAAGGTGGATGGAGAACCTGTAAGTTGTCTTCAGACTTCCACATTTGAGCTGTGGCTTCCCTGACCCCAAATGAAGAAATGAAATA